GCGCGTGGAGGAAGAGCCGTTTGGAGCCTTGACAGAGCGTTTTGCACTTGCATCTAGCTCTCCGCGATCGCCAGGTGGTGCCAATGTGACTTTCACTGGAATTCTTCACTTTTTTTTATACATCATTTTCCTTTTTCCCCCTTTTTTGAAACTGTGAAAACAAAGGAGGTGTTTGGTTGGTAGAAAGATAGAGAGCGAGTGGAAACAACAATAAAACGTTGCGTAGACTGCCAGCTCCAGTAGGTGGGGACGTGGGGTCACTTTTGTGTCTCTTTTTTATTAAAAAAAACCCAAGAGGCGAGTTTTTTTTAAAAAAATAAATAGTGAAATAACTGCGATGGTGATTAGTTTAATTTGGGGTTTGCTTATTTAATTTGTTGGCGGTGCGGGTGCGGGAGTCCGTACTGTATAAAGAAACAGTATTTCTTTCGGTGAACAGAAAAATCGGTCGTCTCCATCACATGCTGACGGTAACAACATCCACTTTCCATTTCCACCAATCCTCCCAACAAAAAAGCAAGATCCACTTGATCTTGATTGACTTGCTCTGATGTTTGTAATAGATTAAAGAAAAACGATAATTATATTAAATAAAATAACAACATTACCACTATTCTATTTTTCATAATTTAATTTACGTTTATCTACATTCACTTAAAAAAAATCGATGTTTTCTCCATTTCAATTTTATTATTTTCTTGTCCTCAAAAATAATAATTAAAGAGTAAAAACTTAAATTTCAATTTGGTAGGTTCTATTATAATCTTTAAATAAAATCATGGTATTCATGGGATGGTAATGAATAGATTTTATTATATTAATCTAAAATCACATGTTAGGCAATGGAGTTACACCAAATGATTTTTTTTATGATGGTTAATGATATATATTATAGAGATGATTAATATATATAGTTAATTTTATTTATAGTCTAACTCTAATTAAATATTACAGTCTAATTAGATATTTTAATCTAACTAAGTAATAGTATTGTGTTATAATTTTAATTAAATAATTTATACAATTATCTTAACATATTTAAAATTTATTATTTTTATTTTGTAAAAAATAAATGGTCTTTCAATAAAAATGTTATATTTTTCACTTCAAAATTTAATAGAGAAAGAGTTAATTTGTCATTGAAAAATCTAACGTAGCATGCATTCACATTAGTAACCCTATAATTATATAGTTAACAATTTAGTTAGTTTCCACCAAATCGGCTTCAAACCAGTGGTTCCAAAACTATAGAATGATTCTTTTCTTTTCATTTTTATTCCATTTTTTCTCTTTTATTCTTAAGCTTATAGTTATTTGTTCTTACTCATTCAAAATTATAAAATAAATTATACTCAAATATTTAATTTATTAATTAATACATAATATTTTATTTAAAAATAAAATTTAAATCTTTTATTTTTAATTAAAAAAAACTTATATGATAGACTAGTCAGTCATGATAGACAATATTCCACATTCTTTTATGTAGTACAGCTTGTTTTTTTTCAATTGGTATAGCGGTTGAAAACGAAAACAAAAAAAGAAATATTGGTGGCTGCTAATTTCTATATTTGGCGCATGCGTTCATAACAGTCGGCAGAAAGGTGCACCAATCCAATTGGTCCCGCTGCATAACAGTGGCAGCCGTCCAGCTTGGACTCTGGAACAGAACACCGACTCAAGGGGAAAAGTCAAGAGAAAGATGGCATAGGGCGAAAAAGGAACACGCCAATGGCAGTAAGTAATTGCCCAATTGCAATTTCAACTTTCACAAAGTACAACCACAGCAAAGCTTTTGAAAGTTCTGAATACTCTTCGCTCTCCATACGTGACAATTTTCCCCGTCAGATTGTACTCAAATATTGCCATAGGTGCTCATTATTGCAAGAGTTGTCATGACACAAAATTGCTAGTATTAACATAGATTATTAGTGTTTATAAATTATATACTAGTATTAACATAAATCACGATGTAAAGGAAGTACTATATAGTATGGTCAATACTTACTCTCTAATTGTATAATTTAAAAAGGAAGTATCATTTTTTTTAATATGACAAATATATATACGTATAATATCATTACATTACATCTATTGATTATAATATGAACAAGTTTATTAACTGTAATGTGATTATAATTTTAGACTATAATTACATTATATTCATTGATTGTAATGTAATTACATTACAATCTTACATTATAGTGTTTTGTTACAAAATAAATATTGTCATGTAATTTAATTAAGCGCATTATAAGAAATATACTTTCACTTCCTTCATAACAAAGACTACCTTAGTATTAGTTTTAATAAAAAGTTTGAACAATCTTCATCTTCTTATTAAATAAATGGATTCATCCAACTATTAAATTTATCTAATACTGTAAGCATGGGAAAGAATTTAAATAAAGATTTAAATTCAAAATATGATGTTCCTTCTTTTTATATATATATAAAACAAAACCGGTGCCATTTTCTCCCAAGTAACCAAAACCCTAACTCAAAATGTTGTCATTTGAACAAAGTGAGAAGAAAAAAAACAACCCAAACCAATCAAAATGATGTCGTTTTAATCGACTGAAAGGAAAAATAAAAATCGAGAGACCTTCCAATTGAAGGGTCAATTGCAACAATAGCTTGGAGAGCTACTTTTATAAATGGTATTATATATTATTATATATATTAATTATTGAGATTATCCTAATCTTTTCCAATTTGCACTTATAATTAGTTATAAGTACTCCTCAACATTGTTGTTTTCTTCATTTTGATAAAAAGGCAAATACTGAGAAAATAATAAAAAATTCAGGTAAGTATATGTACACCAGAACAGTGATGGTTGGACAATTAAACGGAATAAGCAGATTTTGTCTGGAGGACTACGCAAAGCATCTAAATTAAAGAATGATTAAGGCACATTTTCTACCCATTAAACAAATCAAAGATCTTGTATTGCATTTGCTAATATTCTATTACCGCCTTTGAGTTGACTAATAGTTAATGTGTGAAAGAAGATAATGATATTGAGAGGTTAATTACATATAATATTTGTATATAAAAGAAGAAGAGAGAGAGAGAGAGAGAGAGATGGTATATATCAATTTAAAAACATTAGAGAAACTGTACTTTATGCAAAAGAGTGAAAGAAAGGATAACAAGAGAGGAATAGCTACTGTTCTGAAGATACCAACTTGGATTCCATGCTTTGGGTTTTTTAACCAATAACAAGAAGAATAGAGAAAAAAAAAAAGAAAGAAGAAACAATCTGCAATGAAATGTTAAAAGGGTTCCATCAAACAGAGTAAGACAAGACACGTTTTCAGCGAATGGAGGAGAGTCCACTACACAGGAACAATTATTGGGAACGATGTGGAAAATTGGATGAAAGAACTAAATCGCTTTCGTGTGTGTGTGTGTGTGTGTTCTGGTAGTTCCTAAAGAATCGAATCACACAATGACAAAGACTTTTATAGATTGAGTATTGATCGCAATTCTAAAATTTGCATGTGTTTAGGCATGGGGAATTCGATTCTCTTGGCTTTCTTGAATGATTTATACATTTGCCCATTAAGTTAATCCTCTCAACAAATCATAGAGTAATCAGCTTTTGGAAATTAAACCTCTGAATCCATTCAAAATGCCTTCCATGACAGGAAAGGGTGAGGAAAGGATTTCTTTTGACTATGTGACAGCTAAATTAAAAATAAACGTAAATCTGTGCGTACAAAGATACCCAAATCCACTCAAAAGCAGTGTCTGATTAGTCAGACTCATCTAGAACTTTGTATAAAGTCCACAAAAGCTGAATAAGCCGAAGCTAGTGACTTGCCCAACGCCAAAGACAGTTCGACCTCGTGTTCATTTTGTCAACTTGATATGCTTAAGTCATTATCACCAACAACGTATTCAAATGACAAGCCAAACAAAATAAATACAAAATTTGACATAAAAAAAATTCCCTTTAAACTGGTTTTTCCTTTAGAATCTCCTTATTTTTAGTATGAATTCAATGGAAAATACAAAGGGTTGAGCCAATTTGTCCTCGAGAATATTATAATGAGTGCTTGAATTCAAATATTATTAAGACAAACAAATAAATCAAACATTCAAAACATAAATATATTTAGAACTTTAGTAACTAAATGTGTTCCACAACTTGTTTGGATTTTGCCAGCATGCTCGACTTTGTTCATTAGAGTGGAGAGAAAAATGAAGTTAGAAAGAAAAAAAAAATGGAAGGATTCTAGAAGTTGGATAATTTTCTAAAGTCAAATTCAACCTTCTAACAATGGGAAAGGACAGGGAAAGAGGCACCTACTTATGCTACTTGTTTGGGACTAGGGTAGAAAAGAGAATAGCCAAGTGGTTTGACAATTGTTACTAGATATATGAAAGAGTTAGCTTGAAGAATCAAAGGGGTGGTGGCGCAGTTGGCTAGCGCGTAGGTCTCATAGCTTCTGAGTTATCCTGAGGTCGAGAGTTCGAGCCTCTCTCACCCCATTTTCTTTAGTGTTATAATGGCAACAGCCCATTTTTTTAAAATGCGATTTTGAATTTTAAGACTATAAATCAGAACTGACAGCCCAACTTGAAGGGAGACTATAAATCAGAACTGACGGCCTACCTTGAAGAGTATGAATCAGAACTGACAGCCCAACTTGGAGAGTATGAAGTTATTCTCTCTCTTACTAGCTTGCCAACCTGCTGATTTACACAAGCTCGTTGCTCCAGTATAAAAATTGACAGACATTAAGCTTATAAGGGAAAAAAACAAATGGCTAAGAACAAATAATCTGGTATCAGATATTCAGACCTTGCTAGTAAGACTTTGCACTATCAATTGAGCTCAAATAGCATTGCACAAACTTGTTTTCTTAATTGACATTTTCTCTCTTTCGACTTTCCAATCATATTTGCGCTACCAGAATGCTAGGCAATATTTAAATTCAATGTAGGAGAGAAACTGCTTGCCTTACAGTTTACTTATGGGATGTTTTGCTGAAACTGTTAGTTGCTTTTATAAAAGAAGCTAAATTTGTACATGTTTTACTGTGGTGACATGATCAGATTTGGAATATCTACTCTCAGAGAACAAACCAGCCACAACCATTTGCACCCGAGAACAAAACTCAAATATGAACTTCTGCATCTAGAGAAATCATAGTATATTGATACAAAACAGAGGAGAGATTGAGATACCATTCATCATTACCCAAAAACACTTGATGAACATCTCTTGGCAATCGATCACTTAAGTTTTAAACATACTGCAACACTGATCAAAATTAATGCCAGTCTACTATTCCTCCAAATGTTGTAGAGCCCACCGCTTCCCATACTTCACCAGAGCCTACTTCCTCACTGTCAACACCTTCCATGTCACAGTCCCACCAGCCACAACCATTTGCATCTGCTAGGCAGAGAGCAAAAAATCAAGAATCTTATAGAACTTCACCAGTAAAGAACTTAAAATGAAAAAAGGAAAATGAAAGAGAACAAAAGCTTCATAGAACTTCGCCAGATAATGTATTATGATTAATTTTTGAAGAAATCTCAGGAAATAATTATGCTTACAGTGATTATAATGGGGTTTTGGTTTCTTGTTGCTTAGAGAACACTCCCTTCTTCCTCTTTTCTTTGATTTTGGTGGATCATCTCCCAAAACTAGAAAAGGCCTTCGTGTTCTGCGCTCTTCAACTAAACCTGGTAACCCACACAATTCAAGTTCATAACCCCTAATGTAAAACATCATAATCAACTGAAAAATGTAAGATTAACCCAAGCTCATCAACTTTCATATTTAGCAGTAAGAGATGTTACAACTACAACAGAAAATCTAGATAGGGTGCAAACTTACCATCCCTTATTTGACAAGAAAATGGTAAAATATGTAATACACTAACAATTGACATCTTCAGCTAATTAAGCCATTCTTTATGTTTCTTCTAACTTCTACTTAATGTTCATTTCACTTGCAAATGCTCTCCAGGCTTGTTATAAGCTTTCCGTCTTTCTGAGCCAATGTACATGACATTGACCTGTGTCTGGATATTTCATTAAAGAATAATTGCTTGACCATGTCTATATATTTGAGGTTGACATTTCTAACATTTAAAACCAAGACGCCAGAAAAAGCATAGTTTTTCTTAATTCGTTTCCACTTTTACTCAAGCAAACTTAGAAACCAAAAAACAAAAGCATTGGATACCTTCAAATGGATTCTGTCTTTTTCTTGAATTTCCTTCCTTTTCTTCTTCACCACCTGAACTTACTATACAATCTACTTGCTCAGTGCTATCTTGCTTAAACTGCTCAAAAACAACTTTATCAAGAACATCTTTTTTCTCCGTTTCCTCTTCTTTCTTGCTCTCATTCTGCTTATTAACACACTCCCCTTCTTTCCGAAGCAATAGCGATGAGAAAGGGCTTGATTTCTCCTATCAAGAATTGGGTTATTCTCAATTTGATCTAAGTAAGCTAAAAATATATATTAAAAATCTTGGCTGCTAGGAAATTCTAAGTAACCAAGTATCAAAGAAAACATTTTCTGCACAAAATTCAGAGGCTCAAAAATGAAAGTTACAAAAGGGCAAAACATTACCTGTACGGTTTTGGGAATACCAGAACTTCTGGGAAGCTTTCGGTTCAGGAAATCTGATAACGACGTAAACTTCTTCGAATCTTTGTTACGCGAATCCTCTTTTAATTCCTCAGAACTAATTTCATACACAGTTTTAACCCAAACCAAAAATAAATCACCAAACTCCAAAACGAAAATAGATCAAGAGAGACGATGGTGAGCGGCGTTATGATCGGTTTACTTACGAATTGGAAGAGCGTGAGAGGAAGGATGCAGCAATAGAGTACTGCCCGAAGACCCTTGTCGGGGTTTGCTTTGAATTCATTTCCTTTTTCTCGTTCTTCTCTTCTTCAACCGCTGCTTCTTTCTTTTCTTTTTTCTGCTTCAATTTTTAGAATTTGATCTCCATTTTTGAAAAATTGAGGACTGTTTTTCTAGTTTTGGTCAGTAACTAAATTTTTTTGCTTCAATTTTATCTCTTTATGTGTTTAGGCGCCAAGATTTTTGGAAGTTTTCACTTTTCAAAATTTTTTTGCACCCGCGGGAAACTAGCGGGATGCAGCTAATGGGTTGAGACTTGAGATTTGATTTCGGTAATCTCTCCTACGTCTCAAACATTTTATTTGTGTTCATTTTAATCCTTAATCTTTAACTTATTTGAAGTAACTGCAATTAAGTTTTTTTTTTAATATATATCAATTTGGTTTTAGGTAATACAGATCTACACACAATAGGATTCAATAATCAATGAGCAGTTACAACTTAAAGCTAAATGGCAGGTTCAAGTCTAATTTTACAAACTAGTACAAAATGTCTCTACCTTGGTAATTAAAATCTTTTCTTCCATATTCGAAAGGCAGCACATAAATAATCAAAATGAGAGCAGAGAAGCACATAGCGCGTGGAATCGGGTATTCCAGGTCATTATGATGTGTTACAATGGCGGACGAGGGGCCTCATTCTTGCTGAGAGAAATGAGATTGGGCCTAAAGCTCGCACATAGCAGATGGATGAAGAATTGATAACAGGTTAGTTAAAGACATGAGTGATCAATCTTCGGAACAACTCCTCATTTCAAAGGTAAAAGCAAACAAGTTTGAGTCTATCAATCAAAAAGAAATGGAAGCTTTGTCTTCTGACTCAAATATACTTGAATTTAACATTCCAGTTTAGTTGGAGAAACATCAAAAGGCATGATCAAGGCACTACTGCTGCAGCTGTGATAAAGAGCAGTATAAAATGCCAAAATGGAAAATACTATGAACTTCCTGACCATCTGCTATCTTTAGGGCCCAACCCCAATCCTTCAATAAGTTTCAATTACTGCAAATATATATAAAACCCTATGAACAATTTGACAATGGTTGTACAATGATACAATGGCCAGCAAGGTCTTATTGCTGGATTAGGTGAAAAGTTACATACATATAGCACAGATGCATGTGATTTGATAACAGACAACTTTAAGAACCACAATAGTCTTTCATTGAAAAGATCAATACTAAGACTCGAGTGATCAATATTCAGTGCAACACAGCTAAACTGCTAAAGGTAACAATTTGAACCTTCTACCATCTCAAGTAAAGTATTAGTTGAATATAGTATTCTCCAATCTAAAGTAACAAAAGCCACTTTCTAGAAGATCAGCTTCTCTTTGCTTCTACTGGTTTTCAAAGACAGCATATTTAGTTAACAAATTGAAAGGTTTGGTTTCTCACACAAAATCAAGAAATAATGTCACACTCCAAATTGGTAGTACTTGGATTGAGACACCACTTCTACAACTATAGTATACCACGCTAGCAAATATTCCCACCAAACATGTTGTATGTATATATCACAAGCAATAATTTTATCACAGCATACTATGGAAATTCTTGTCTATCTACTATCTTTAGGCCTAATATCAATTCCTTCAATAATGAGGCCTTTCTTAGGGGTAGAATTATCAACCTCCCGTAACCTACAAACAGCTTTCCCATCATCTCCATGTTCATTGAAGAACTCACCCAACTTAACCTCCATCCACCCATCCCCTCTCTCACGAGAAAATTGAGGAATATTAGATGAAGGGTCTAGGAATACACGAAAAGTACGCCCAGCATCACTTTCTTCTAACTTGACATGCAGGTCTACAGGTTTTTTGTCAAATCCAGATCTAGACGTTGCAAATTTATAGACAAGGTAAGCTACATAAGTTGTCTTAGGAGACAAAATTTTAGTCTCTATCACCCCCTTCACATCCAGCGACCATACTTGTTTGAGCTCAGCAACTTCAGAGAACCTAAAAATGCAGTCACATATGCATTATTCATTGAAATGACATTTTGATCCCTAAGACAGTATTATATAGTAACATAATTGTAAACTTTTGAAACAAATAAGAACATAATGAAAGAGCAGACAAACCTAGACTGAGGCAGACACTTCCATCTCCAGTTGGTTGGCGTGTTTACCTCAGCAATCGAAAGCCTTCGGGCCCCCATCATGTAACATTTTTTCCCAGTTGCTTTGTCCAGTCCAAAGCTCTGCATAGTAGAATCAAGATGGTAAACATGCTAATATTATTTACATATGCAACAAAGGAAAGGGAGGATTAACTCAGGTAGAATACATAATTCAAATGGTTTGGGTTCATAAACGACAAGTTAGTTTCCTTGACTTATTAGTGATTAAGATCCAGTGAGAATTACAGAATAATAATTATTGGACAGGAGAGAAGCTATGTTGTCCACCATATTTTATCTACTAAATTTTCTCAGTTGAACTAGTGTGACTTTGTTACTTATGCCATGCACATATCACACTCTGCATGTATTTCCTAAAATTAGGATTCTACAACATATATCTCTCATTCATAAATGGTCAAGTCAATGAAGATCTATGCATCATATGCAAATGGTCAATTCTAGAAATACACTCCTTATGAATTCCCAAGAACCTATGATTCATGTAGCAATTGTAACATATCCGACCTGGAAAGAAAGGACCAACATTACAGATGTTGTTAAATACATAAACCACTTACAGACACACACATCTTTGGGTGAAGGAGGGTAGGTCTGTCACCTCAGAACTTTTTCACACATAAGTGATGGGGATAAAACTAGATTATCTTTGGCTAAGCAATACCAGGACGAAATATGTTTTCACGCTATGTTCCCAATATACAAGGTGGATATTACTCCTTTTTGTGTACGAGTTTCCTACCATCAGCTCAAAGAAAGCGGAGGCAAACTATTTAAGTTAACTTTGTCTAATGGTTTTTATGTCATTAGTTTTAGCAGGCTTGTCCTTTCTCATAGTTCTCTTTCCTGATTGAATGAAATTTCAAACATCACAGACACTCATATGGACTGCCTAATTATTTGGGACTACTCGTGCCACCGAATCATTTGACAAAGCTTGACTATTGATTTTTTCATTTTCCAGGAAATTCCCAAGTTTCAAAATGGTAAAAGCGTACGGCAGCTTAAACAACTGATGTTTCATCAAAAAGCTGTAGCAATCAAGTTCATGGACACAAGAAGAACTCTGGAGCTAAATTCTCCAACGCTCAACAAGTCAATCACTTGTTAAATAAATGCCCAATAAATAGATTAATTCTAATTTATACACTATGACTACTCTATTTTCATCTAAATAAAACCACCCAAATCTAAGTAAACCCATTTTATTGCAAAAATAAAAAATTGAAGAAAAACATACCATAAATTTTTTTTTTAAAAAAAAATTACCATGGTGCCGTTGTCAATAAGAACCCCGCGATTGCAAAGATGGAAATAAAGCTGTGTCTTGGACATGGAAGCAGTCAACCGCTTGGACAAGGATGAGGGTGAATTCGAAATGATTTCATAACAATCCGACGGCAGAAATTTGCCCCAAATGGTATCTGAATTAGCGGCTGATCTGAAGACGGGAGAGACAAGCTTTGATCTGCAAACATCGGTTGGGGATGTTAAGGAGAGTATGTAAGAAATGCACTCTTCTGGTAATATGCTGGTGATATCTGATTTCATTGTGTTTTGTTGCCTTGTTCTATCTCCCAGTACTCATTTCTTTGCTAAATTCGCCAAGTGTTTCGCTGGTCTTAGTTTTTACCTCGGGATTTTCCTTTTCGACCATTGTGGGCTTTCATCTCTTACTACTATCGATTTCTTCCTAACACGCACTCCAGCTGTTTATTATTTCAATAAAAAAATTATATGCACTTAAATTTTTAATTTAATAATAAATACACGTATCTTATCTTATTTAATTCAAAAAGTCTGAGTTAAAATTTTTAATTTAATTTTATTTTTTTATCATTTTATTGTGTATGTCTTAAATTAAAAAGTAAATGTTTAAATTGAGGCTAAATGTTTTTAGATATTTCAATTATAATGATTAATGATCAAACGTTTCCGATTTTTTGTAATTAAAGGTAAGTTGATAGGTGAATGAAACGCATATCACATGCAATACAAATCGTATTGAAAATATAATTTACACATTATATTAAAAATTTAATTATTACATTTCATATTGAAAAATGTAAATATTATACCTTATGTTTGAAAATTTAGTTGTTATACATTATCTTAAAAAAATATAGTTATTATATATCATGTTGAATATTTAATTATTACATGTTATGTTAAAAATTTAATTATTGTATATAATATTAAAAATATAGTTATTACATATTATGTTAAAAATATAATTATTACATGTTATATTAAAGAGTTTATTGTTATACGTTCTGTTGAAAAATTTAATTGTTACACGTTATAATGAAAAAATTGTTACACACTAAGTTATAATTTGAACCGTTTTAACTTAACAAAAAAGACTTTTTAATAAAATTATCCTTTTGTAATTTACTCTTTTAAGTCAGTGTCTACGTCATGCGCGTGTTTCACATATGTTAGATACCTTTTATTTTAACCTTTAATTGTAAGACACCGAAAACGTTTGATACATAATTGTTACAATTGAAATATTTAGCCATAAATTGACAAAAATCTAAAAAATTTTATCCTAAATTAAGCATTTAGTTTAAAGTAAATGACTCTTCTTTTTATTAATAGATTTCTTCTTAAAAGCTTTCTAAAGATTTATTATTGCAATTAAAAGTCACGTATATGTGAGTATTTAGTTTAATAATATATATTATAAAAATTTAAAGAGTAAAATTCAAATATAAAATCTTTCTTAATTTTTTATAGATTTTTTTTTATATTTTTAAGTTTTACCTTGGCTATCTTTATATTATTTTGTATATTGTAACACGACAAGAATTCTTCTTAAAGTATTTTTGAAGTTTATTATTACAATAAAAAATTATGTACACATGACATTTAATTTAATGATAAGTGTAATTGACGTTGAGTAGAGAACCAAAATTCCACAAAAAAATTTTAATGGCATATGTAATTTATTTTACCCAAGTTAAAAACTATGACCTCCACCCACCGAAAGTTAAATACAATTTTTTATATTATTATTTGAGTTTACTAATTTCTTTTAAAAATTCCTGAATATATGATATGTCCATCAATCTATTTTCATTTTGAATTTTTAGCTTTATTTAACTATTTTAATTAGAAATTTTATGAATTTTATCACATGAATTTTGTCATTTTTATAACTTCTTTCTCTTAAATAAGACTAATGAAAAAGGCCCAAAATTGATGATGTGAACAAAAATACAAAGTTTATATATGTTGTATCGATCCATCAGAAAGTTGAACTCCTATTATTTAACCTAATTTATTTGGATTGTTGTGTAAGCTCTTACAAACCTATAAATGTAAGGGTGTGTTTTTTGTGGGGCCAAGGTCGGCAAGGACTAAGGCTGATAAGAAAAGAATTAAATTAAGCATTTCCTTCTTAGAGCTTGAAGATAAAATTTGATTTTGGATTGCACAGATTGTAGGGATGGTCTTAGGGTTGATCCTATTAAAACAAAAGACACGAACCAATTTGTGGTCCAAAATTTTTAGGTGGCACTTGATATTTTGTTGGGAATGTCATCATCAAGAATATAATTGTTGGATACATGATTATTGAGAAGATAATTTTGTAACATTTGATATAACATAGAAAAATGATGATAATAGGAGAATGTAGTGTAAATTTATAAAATTATTTTTATATATGAAAATATAAAATTGAATACTTATCTTTTTTTTTTAATATAAATTTTTAAACTTACATTTCTTTTATAAAAATTGATTAAAGTAAAAAATTATAAAATTATTTTTTTAAAATAGTGAATAAAAATTTAAGAAAAAAAATGAAAACACCAAATAAAAGAAGAAAGATGATGAAATCC